TATCCACTTATGATTTACAGAGTCAATAAAGAAAACAAAAAACACAACAAAGACACAAAAGTCCATTCAAGCTTTCATAAAATTCTGACTTCACTGACAGATTCATTCTCGAATGAGGAAGCAGCGGTCATAAGCACAGCTTCAACCCCGGTGTGATTTCGCAAGTGTCTGTTTAAACTCCCCTGTTGTGTAAATGTTTTACCACAAACACTACAAACAAATGGTTTCTCGCCTGTGTGAACTCTCATGTGTCTCTTCAGACTTCCTTGTTGAGTAAATCTTGTTCCACAAACACTACAATTGAACTGTTTCTCCCCTGTGTGAGCTCTAATGTGTATCTTCAGATCATGGTGATGTACAAAGTTTTTCCCACACAGGTCACAACTGTATGGTTTCTCTCCAGTATGCACCCTCATATGTCTTTTTACAACCCCCTGTTGCGTAAACCTTTTCCCACAAAAATCACAACCAAATGGCTTCTCTCCAGAATGAACTCTCATATGTCTCTTCAGAACCCCCTGTTGGGTAAACCTTTTGGCACAAACAGCACAACTATATGGTTTCTCACCTGTGTGAACCCTCATGTGCCTCTTAAGATTTTTCTGTTGTGTGAAGCTCTCACTACAAATCCCACAAACAAATTGTTTCTGCCCTGTACGATTTCTAATGTGTGATTTAAAACTATAGTGTTGTCTAATTTTTTCAACAAAAACATCACAGTCAAACGATTTGTCTCCTGTGTGGTTCCTCAGCAATGACTCAACATTTTGCTTTACTTTGAAACACTTCTTCTTAACAAAACAGCTGGAAGACCTTTTTCCTAAATTACATGTCATACGTCTCTGAAGAGATTGCTTGTTTTTAAGAGATTTCAAAGTATTTGCACCTTCCTCGGGTGCCCAGGGACTATTTTCACTGTCCTCAGTTGCAGGTCCAGCGTCTGATAAAAGTTCCTGCCCATCATCTTCATCTTCATCTTCATCATCATCGTCACTGACTTCAGTCTCAGACGAGTCTGAAGCCTTTTTATCAGTATTTGGTTCTAAATTTCCATTTGAATCTGGGGTTCTGGCTGGTTCTGGTCGTCCACAGTCGTCTTCATCGCTTTCTGTTTTCATCTGTTTTGTTGAGCTGCTGGTTGGAGGCTCTGTCTCTCTGTTGTCCTTACTTTGGCTCTGATGAAGATGGGAGGACCGAGAATTCTCTTCATCATCTTCACTCTTCACAGGAACAGCAGTGAATGGAAACCTCCTGATATCAGTCTCCCCCTGACCATTCAGCTGCTCTCCCTCCTCACTGGTCCACAGTTCCTCCTGTTCCTCCTTTATGTGGAGGGGCTCTTTGTCTTGTTGGTCCAGACTGGAGCTCCATTCATGGGGAACTTCTTCTTTAATCACCAACAGCTGCTGGACATCTGCAGGCAACGCTGAAACACACACGAGCATTATAGACAACTGTGACTTTAAGTGTATGCACACAGATCTTCAGCATTTCTATTATTATTTAAAATATTACTCAGCAAGTGGGTGGCCCATTGCGAGGAAATTAGCAAAACCTTTGAAAAATGAATAATAACTGAGAACTTTGTGAAATCTGGAAATATTTGGTAAGCTTGTAAGTCAGCTCAGATTTGATTTTCATTAAAAACAATGCTGTAACACACCGAAACCACAGAACACTATTTTTAGTTTCTTGTGGAGAAACAGTCCACATTAAAACTGATTATTCTTACCAGCAGTTTGGTTGATGGTGTTCTGTGACTGATGGGCAGCAGGATGTTCAGTCCCCAGTTTTTCTTCTGGTTTAGGTGTAGCTAGTGGGATGTTAAGTGACAAAGCGACAGACTCCAGACTTTCCTGAGATGTAAGTCTTTTGCCACCATCACCTGGTTTCTCTCCCGTGTGGACGCTCAAGTGTCTTTTCATGTGGAACTTGTGGCTAAATCCTTTGCCACAGACAGTACATTTGAAGGGTTTTTCTCCTGTGTGGGCTCGCATGTGAGGCTTCAGGTCCTCTGGTCGTGTAAATCCTTTACCACAAACTTTGCAAACAAACGGTTTTTCTCCTGTGTGGACTCTTTTGTGTCTGTTAAGATTATACTGTCGCGTGAATCTCTGTCCACAAAAATCACATTCATACAGTTTCTTTCCTGTGTGGTCTCTAATGTATAAATCGACATTTTGCCTCACTCCTGAGCATTTATTAACGGAACAGCTCGGCAAACCTTGTCCCGAACGACATTTCATGTGTCTCCAAAGAGAACGCTTGTGGAGAAATCGTTTACCACACTCAGAGCAGCCGAAGGTTTCTTTGTCAGAGTCAGATCCGCCGTTATTCACACCTGACCGAAATGCCCCACGGTTAGCATCTTCAGTTTCAGCTCCAAAATCTGACAAAGGTTCCTGCCAATCATCTTCCTCCTCCTCCTCCTCCTCCTCCTCATCATAAATATTACTCTCAGAAGAGTCAGAAGATTTTCCATTAGTATTTAGTTGTATATGAGTATTAGTATCTGGTTTTTCATCTCTTTTTAGTCCTTCGCTTTCTGTTTTCATCTGTTTAGCTGAGCTGCTGGTTGCCTCTTTACTGTCTTCAGTGTGGCTCTGATGAAGATGTGAGGACCGAGGATTTTCTTCATCATCTTCACTCTTCACAGGAACAGCAGTGAATGGAAACCTGCTGATATCAGACTCCTCCTCCCCATTCAGCTGCTCTCCCTCCTGACTGCTCCACAGTTCCTCCTCTTCCTCCTTTATGTGGAGGAGTTCTGAGTCCTGCTGGTCCAGACTGGAGCTCCATTCATGGGGAACTTCTTCTTTTATCACCAACAGCTGCTGGACATCCGCAGGAGACACTGCAACACACATTATGGACAAGTTAGACCTTGTGTATTCACACATACTTAATATTATTTACAATTGAAGCTGGAAAACCTTTTCTGAGAAACTAACAAACGACTAGAAACTAAATAAGAACTAAACACATATTGTGAGGGGTGGGAATATGTGGATGATTCTCTGTGGATGTTTCTAACGTAGAGACTTTGCACTTTTTACAGGATAAAGCAGCTGGTAACAGGCTGACCAGTAGCACCGCGTCAATGATCATTCCTGAGATCTACCAACACACCAGTCAGACATAGTATATAGTAAAATGTAAAACATCCTACTGTGTTTGGACTTCGTCATTGTCTGCAGTACAGACTGTCCATGTGCACTCTTGAGCTGATGGCAAAATTTACATCACACATCACAGTAACTGCAGCTTTTGTGATCATCTGTCCGTCCACTGTATGCACCGTGGGATAATCTGACTACTTGCTTCTTTCACACGAGGAATCTTTGGCATTTACATGAAAGAGTAATTTAATACTAAACGAGCTGATGGTCCTGGAAGATTCACCCATTTTTGCAGTTTTTAGAAGGGACAACCTCAAAACCTGCCAACAGGTTTGAAAGGCATGTTGTCCTGAAAGCAGATCACCAAAGACACATCATTTATCAAAGCCAGAAACTTTTAACAGAGACAGAATCATCAGATTTTTAACTTTCTAATGGTCACTCAACTAAACGTGTGTGACATGTGGTTCTGCCACAAAAACTGAGTCTAATTTTATCGTCAAGTTTAAAATCTGCTTATTTTACATCTAATCTTTGAGACTTTCCAGATGAACTGCAGGCTGCGTCTATGGAGAGCAGACAGGACACAAGGATGGAAACTACTGTAAAATGCAAGTAGTAAAATATTGACAGCATGTGAGTCGTAATTTTTTTGTGGGCACTTTTAAAAATGCTGTACATGCTGCTTTTAGTTTTATTTTTTTTTTCATTTTTGCAAAATAAGTAATCAAAGAACTTCAACTTTGTTGTGCTGCACACAAGAAACTTTGCATTTCTCTTTCTTCCAGCCATGGTTGTGCTGTAGAGGTGCCACACTTTATATTGCGGTGAAAAACAGTCCACAAAGAGGAAAAATGTGGGGAGGGAAAAGGTTATTGGGGTTCAGAGGGTTAAAATTACTGAAAGGGAGTCTCTCTTATGAATTCATGAGGAGCTGCAAATATTTCATAACTTCTAGTGCAAATGTGGATGAACCCATGTATTGTTTTTAAAGTCCATTTACTTATTTAATTAGCTTAATTTTTATTTCAATGCATTTACTATATTATTATTTCCTTTTCTTTCGTTCTGATCTAATGTCCCTTGGATGCTGGTGGTGATTATTGTTATTTTCTCCCTGTCGTGATGTTTGCAAATGTTTAAATAAATCGCATGTGCGCGCTACAAACTGTCCGGCTGCTGGACTGAACCAGGCACATGGGTTCCGCCTTTTTTTATTCCGTCAACACAAAGCTAATCTGTAACATTATTGATGCAAAGCGTTTTGCTGACATTTTTTTTAAAATCCCAGAATGAATCGTCTCCTCCAGCCTCCCTCCCAGCAGCTAGCAGTTAGCAGCTTCCTCCACATTAGCTGTGATTCTTCTTACCAGCGGTTTGCTTCCGAACAACGTCCTGCGGCTCACGGAGGCGTTTCATCTGCACTTTTCCCTCCAGACACACACTGTCAGTCCGCTGCTGCTGGACAGAATCCACCTGGTTCATGGTATCAGATCTGCTTCTCCTCTATAAAACTCACCGGAGGCTCGTAAAGGAGCCGCGCCTGCGCAGAACACATCGCCGTCAGTCGCCGCACGCTACATTTCTGTTCGGGCTGATCAATAAACGTATTAACGGAGCTGACAGTGACTCAAACAAGGAGGCAGCTTTGTTTTTATGACATATTTTTTTTTAAACATGTCTGCTGTGTTTTGAACAGGCATCCGTACGGACACCTATGCCGTGTGTCGCGATCGCTTTTTAACAAACTTTATTGACAACAGAATACGTTTACAGTATAAACAACAGTACAAAAAGTTATTGGAATCAAACAAAGGGCCTAAAACAAAAGCAGAAGTTAAACTACAAAGTAATGGGGTGAAAGAATGAATTAAAAATCAAATTACAATTTCAATTTGTGAGTATTAATGCAAACCAACTTAAATCACTCTATGGATATTTAAATTTTGCACAGATTCTTGATTCTTGATGTGGACAATAACAATATTGTGCATATCTATATATTGGAAAAACACAGACGTTTCCATGAGTAGAAATACAAGTGTAAGAAATACAGATTTTATGGATATTGCACAGATTCTTTCATCAGTTGAAAAATACTGATATTACACAGATTGTTGTGTATGTAGAGTAATTGATATTACAGCCGTTTTTAAATGTACATATATTAATACAGGTCTGAATGTGTTGACGCTGCACCAGAGTGAAATATTTATTTTCTTGTCTGCATAAGAAAATAAATATGAATCCAAGGAGGTGTAACAGAAACATGGACTGTGGTTTCTTTGAGTGTTTTATTCCATTGTCTTTGTTGCTCTTGAAGTGCAATAATATGATGTAACACTGTTTTTTCTTTTTTTTTTTTTTTAAACTTCTCAAGAGCAACAACTTCATGTAGCACTGGCACTCCGTATAACTTTTAAGTACAGTTGTAATTAGAGTGTGTACAATTTGGGGATAATTGTTTCTTATGTTCACATGCAGTAGATAGACAGATATTTTATTCATTACCTCGAGCAAATTCGTTTTATCCAGTAGTTAATACATGTCACATTTAGGGGGAAAAAAGGAAACTTATGTGCAATTAATTTGCAAATCATGCTGGCTGAAGAAATAAGGTGCAAAGTTGTTGATATTTTCAAACAAAAAGGAGGATTAAAAATTCTAAGTACTGTATAAACATAGAAATGATAATAAGCTAATATCTTACCTTGTCAGGGCATCTAATTCAAACACTCTTTTTTATAATGTGTACTTATTTTATTTTTATGATGTATATTTGTTTTGTTTTTCGTTTTTTGATGCTGCTGCTGCTACCTATACATTTTTCTTAATTTTATTTTATTATTTGTTCCTATTTTTCTCCCCTATAAATACAGCTGACTCAGAAGAACACACAAAGAATTCCAGTGTACCTGTACTGTTCTGGACCCATGCAAATGCCAATAATACTTTATTCTATTCTATTGTAATAGGAGGAATGCTTGGCTCCTTGACGCAGTTTTGGGTGTTTTAGTCTTTATTATTATACCTTAGATTTGGTCTCTTTTTTATTCCTTTGTATCTATTTATATTATTGTTTGATTTGTTTGTTTGTTGTTATACATATATCTATATTTTTTATGTATATGGGACTGTGCAAACGAGACAATTTCATTGCCCAGTGTTAAACTGCTGTTTTTCATGCTGAACATATGACAATAAATGTCTATCTCTGTCTCTTATAGTTTGTGCTTTTTTTTTTTTGCTTGTCTTTTTTGTTGTTGCTTCATTTATAAAATAAATTTTTATCGAAGAGCTTTTCCTGATTTTATTAAAGTTTTAAGTTATGTTTTATAACTTCTTGTTCTGTTTTGTGTGCTTTCTGTTTCTTCTGTGTGCTTCCTTTATTTTGGTATAGTTGATTATTATTATTATTATTATTATTATTATTATTATTATTATTATTATTATAAACACAAAAATATCCATCGTAAAAATCTACAAAATTTCTTCTCCTCCGAGTTTTTACTCCCATCTAGTGGCCACTCTGAAGAACTGTAAAGGGGAGGAGTGGGAAGAGCCTAAAGCTGTCCGTGTAGATGCCTGTCTAAAAAAAAACCTGGCCCCAGCTCCTGTGTTACATCCATGGATGAAGTCGGACACAAATCGAACCGGCTGCTGTTGTTCTTCCATCGGCGGTGATTGATTCCGCAAAGGCACGACAAAAAGAACAACATGAACGATTCTGTCCATCAGCAGCGGACTGAAAGTGTGTGTTTGGAGGGGAAAGTGCAGATGAAACGCCTCCATGAGCCGCAGGACGTTGTTCTGAAGCGAACCGCTGGTAAGAAGAATCACAGTTAATGTGGAGGAAGCTGCAGACTGCTAGCTGCTAACTGCTAGCTGCTGGCTGCTGGGAAGGAGGCTGGAAGAGACGATTCCTGCTGCTGCCATCAGTTTGAATATTTTAACAGACGTTCAGTTTAAAGGAGAGCCGTTGTTACAGGTGAACTGGTGTCAGATTAGTTGGTGCGTGAAGCCGCCGTCACAGTGGTAGGTGGAGACCGTAGGTGGCTGCGTCGGTGCCTGTTCAGAAAGTCCACAAACCGTTTGTTCCTGTCGTCGGTAGCGACATTTATCTACGATAGCTTACATTAAACTGTCAGCATACAGTTTAATAATCTTTTTAAAATTATTTTGTTTTTCAGGATTGTTCCCATCTGAGTGAAAAACCGGTTTTGTCCCTAAAAAGCGATGCTATCCTGCTTATTAAAGCTGTAGGAGCCAGCTGCTAGCTGCTTTAATCCGAATCCATAAAGAAATTATCTCCTTTCCTCGTGCCTGCATTATTTTACCTGCTCTTAGTTTAACCAGTTCAGACCTGAAATAGCCTTTTAGAAGGTTTATTATCAATATACAGTAGTTTTTATTTTTTACATACAAATATTTATTTTTAATGAATTTAAAAACAAGATTGTTCACTGTGTACTTCTTTAACCCAAACCAAAAATTGTAGCCGACATTTAACGGACTAATAACGATAATTATTCTAATAATTTTAGTACAATTAAAGAAATACAGTCGTGACTTGGCATTCCGACCCTTAACGATCCGAAAACCTTAATATCCGACACGTTTTTAGGAACAAACTTTGTGTCACAAATAAGGATAAAAATAAAAGTGCATCTACCAAGTTTTCACCAGCGTTCATGAAGTCACAGACCATGTCGTTCACTGTCATGGAGCTACCGACCAAGCGAAAACGAACAGAGATAACAGTAGCGGTGAAAAAAGCTCTGTGTCAGTACAAGCTAGAGCATCCGAAATGTTCCCAGGACAGATTGGTAGAGTTCATAAAAGACACCTATGCTGTGACAATTGGCCGATCGACCGTCTCTGATATCCTGAAGCACAGTGACAAGTGGATGGCGTTTGTAGTGAATACCAGCACAGAACAAAAACTGACCCGGATTGTGCATGTAAAACACGCCGAGCTGGAAGACGCACTCTTCATGTGGTTTTCAAGTGCTACGAGCCACAACGTCGCAATCAGTGATGAAATTCTGACTATCAAAGCAAAGGAACTGGGAGAGGCACTGGGAATTTCAGACCTTGTGTATTCTCGTGGATGGCTGTGCAATTTCAAAAGACGGCGAGGAATATCACTACGGGAAAAACATGGGGAGCCGGCAAGCTCTGATGTGACCGCTGCTGCTAGTGCCCGGGAAAGAATGCAGGTGTTGCTGCGAAGTCACCAGAACAAAGATATCTTTAATTTCAGCGAAACTGGACTATTTTACCGTCTGGAACCAAACAAGACACTCGCTTGTGGGCCAGTGAAGGGAACAAAGCGTTGCAAAGATCGGATATCTGTCGGACTGTGTGCAAACGCTGATGGCAGTGAAAAGCTAACGCCTGTAGTAATTCACAAGTCCAAAAAGCCACGTTGCTTTCATGGTTTCAACCCAAACACATTTGTGGACTACTATGCGAATAAGAAGGCATGGATGACGCCACTTGTGTTTCAAGAGTTCATTGAACAGCTAGAAAGAAAGATGCGAATGAAGAAACGCAAGATCATTCTGCTTGTGGACAATTCCCCGAGCCACAATGTGACTGGCTTGGAATTAAATTATGTCCGCGTGGAATTTCTGCCAACAAACACAACAGCAGAAATTCAGCCAATGGATGCTGGAGTGATCAGAAACTTCAAAGGCCATTACAGGCGTTACTTGATGAAGCAGTACATACAAGATTTCCACGAGAAGGGCAAAGTTGAACGAATCAACGTGAAAGACGCCATTTATTTCATCAGGGACGCATGGAAGGATGTGAAACAATCAACCATTGCAAACTGCTGGCGGCATGCAGGGATATTACCCGGCTGCACCAACCACCCCTGTGAGCAGTCGGACAGCGTGGAGGTGGAGAACGAGGTGGCGTGCCTGATCAGGGAATTCAAAAGCGAAGACCCTGTGACCGCGGAGGAATACCTCGCATGGGACAACGCGGAGCCAACAGAAGCCATGCTGACGACCGCCGACATCCTGTCACTGGTCAGTAACACAGAAAACAGAGGGGACAGTGACAGCGAGTCTGAAGGAGAAGAAGATCCTCCGAAACCGGTGACTCTCAGACAAGCCATCGAAGGGATGGAAACAGGGCTGCGATACATGGAGGAGCAGGGGTTTACCGCAGTGGATGTTGATGCCATCCGCGGACTGCTAAGAAGGGTCCGCGAACATCAGAACAGTATCACCACATACCAGACATGAACTTTGTAGCTTGTCTGTCGGTTTATTCTTTGAATAGATTTAGTTAATATTTGTTCATTATATTTAGTTCAGTTTATTTTCCAGGGGAACTTCTTTCATGAGCCGTCAATATATATATTTTTTTTTTTAAATATGTTTTTTGGGCTTTTTGCTTCTATTTAGAGCAGTAGAGATAGACAGGAAGGGGGGAGAAGAATGAGGAGAGACCTGCAGCAAAGGGTCGTGCGCAGGATTCAAACCCACCACCGCTGTGTCGGGGAGCTTTAGCCCTGTTCTCTACGAGGTGAGCTATAGGGGCGCCCGGGGCGTCAAGCCTAATGAACGTTATACATGTACCGTATATATTTGTATTTGTATAGATGAAATAAAAAAGCACATGTAGTTCATGACGAGTCTTTTATTTTGTTTCATGTAAATCATATCAGTATCATACACGTAGATAGTTTATTATAACAGCTGTAAACAATGAATATTAACAACTAATGAGCCTTCAAGCATCAAGCCCTCCTCGTATCTCGTCCTCCGTCTTGACAATCCGACAGCCTTGCTATCCGACATAGAAGAAAGTTTTACATTTAGTGTGGGGTTATCACTGCTGTAGCTCAGAGAACCTAAAAGAAGAGGCTTTAAAAGGTGAAAATCAGAGGCTGTCATTAAATATTTTGGCAACATTTGTGTTTTGGTTGAATAAAACATTGTAAAATCTAAGTCTGTCTGCTGTGAACAGCTTTCTGATGTGTTATTTTACCAAGTTGATGATCAGTCTTCATCATAAAGTGCATAATTCTCTGCAAGCGAATGTTGAGCAAAAGCCGGTACTATATTGCACATGTTGCTGTTGATTCTTTTTCTGCAGTTACATAAAGTCCAATGTGTTCCTTTAGAAAGAGTCTGACGTCTGACATGAAGCGGCTGCAGCTGAGAAACAAACGCACATAGCTTTAAAGGACAAGTTTGACTCATGTGATGAGTTTTCCAGCTGCCAAAAAGTAATATTATCCTCCACATTGCATCTAAAATGTTAGTAATGCATCAAAATGACTTTATTTTATTAATGAGGGTTATAGTTTCAAGATTATAGCTCATAGAATAATTGCAAAAGAAATAATTTCTTTACTTCATAAAATTTTGTTATTATTATTTAAGGCTAAAATCAAACACTGGCTCTCTAAACACAGCACGGTCTCACCTACCCTCGTTAAAATTAAGTAAGAACCCTGTACATTTGTGTCTCACTGAAGGTGATTTTTGAATATTGCTGGAAATATTCTCACTTCTCACTAACTGTATTATTTGGTAAACTTCATTTTAAAATGTATGTTTTTCCTGTCAGTCAACACTAAATAACCGATAACCACAAAGCGGAACATGTTTTTAGAAATGTTAAAAATCAAAAACCTAAACATCTCATTTACAAAAGTGTTCACACGTGGGGTTTACTGGAGCAGGATTCTTAGTATTTTTATGTTTGTTTCCACTTCTGCAAGTGTACAGAGATTTATAGATGTGACACAAATGTAAATATGTACATACAGTAGGTATTAATGGCAGAATTATTAATATACAGACAAGTCACCGGCTGTAACTCTGGCCAGTCGCTCAAACATCAGTTAGCACATTAAAGCATTGTTTTCAAATGTTGATATTTCTTTCTTTTTTGTTAGTTTTGTTTGAAAAGCGCCGCCAACTTTTGAATACCACGTTAACTAAAACTAAAACTCCTGCATGGATACACATAAAGTCACGTTTGTCCATAATGTGTGTTTCAGTGTTGCCAGGAGACATCCAGCAGCTGTTGGTGATTAAAGAAGAAGTTCCCCATGAATGGAGCTCCAGTCTGGACCAGCAGGACCCAGAGCCCCTCCACATAAAGGAGGAACAGGAAGAACTGTGGACCAGTGAGGAGGGAGAGCAGCTGAATGGGCAGGACGAGGCTGATATCAGCAGGTTTTCATTCACTGCTGTTCCTGTAAAGAGTGAAGACGATGAAGAGAAACCTCAGTTCTCACAGCTTCATCAGAGCCAAACTGAAGAGAACAAAGAGGCAAAAAGTAGCTCAGCTGAACAAATGAAAACAGAAACTGATGGAGAGGACTGTGGACGACCAGAACCAACTGAAAACCCACATTCAACTAGTAATTTACAACCAAATACCGATGGAAAGTCTTCAGACTCTTGTGAGAGTGATGTCATTAATGGTGACGACGGTGGTGGTGATGATTGTGATAAGGAGGAGCTGCAGGACGATGAGTGGCAGGAACCTTTGTCAGATTCTGGATCTGAAACTGAACACAGTGACAGTGACTGGAAGGAGACCGGAGCACCTGCGTCAGGTGTAAATAGCAATGTGGGATGTAACGCTGACAAAAAACTCTTTAGCTGCTCTGAGTGTGATAAACAGTTTCTTCACAAGCGTTCTCTTCAGAGACACATGACATGTCATTCAGGAAGGAAGTCTTCCAGCTGTTCAGCCAATGAGAAAACGTGTAGAATGAAGCAAAATGCAGAATCACAGATGAAAGTCCAGAAAGGAGACAGACCATTTAGTTGTGATGTTTGTGGCAAAAGCTTTACACGTCAATGTAACCTTAATCGACACAAAAAAGTCCACACAGGAGAGAAACCGTTTGGTTGTGACGTTTGCAGTAAAAGATTTTCACGACCAGAGGAGCTGAAGACTCACACTAGAGTCCACACAGGAGAAAAACCATTTGGCTGTGATGTTTGTGGTAAAAGATTTAACCAGAAGATCCATATTAAGAGGCACATGAGAGTCCACACAGGCGAGAAACCATTTGGTTGTGATGTGTGTGGTAAAAGATTTATGTGGAAGGTATATTATGAGACTCACATGAGAGTCCACACAGAAGAGGATTCATTTGGTTGTGATGTTTGTGGTAAAAGATTTTCACGGGAAGTGGATCTAAAGATACACACAAGAGTCCACACAGGGGAAAAACCATTTAAATGTAGTACTTGTGGTAAAACATTCATGTGGGAGACGAGTTTTAAGACTCACATGAGAATGCACACTGGAGAGAAGCCATTCACTTGTAATGTTTGTGGTAAAAGATTTAGTCAGAAGGTACATTTTAAGACACATACAAGAGTCCACACAGGAGAGAAACCATTTAATTGTAGTGTTTGTGGTAAAAGATTTATGGGGAAGACAAGTTTTAAAACTCACATGAGAATCCACACTGGAGAGAAGCCGTTTGATTGTGGTGTTTGTGGTAAAAAATTTAATCAGAAGATACATCTTAAGAAACACATGAAAGTCCATGCGGAGGAGAGACCATTTGGCTGCGATGTTTGTGGACAAAGATTTAATCGAAAAGCACATCTTGAGACACATACGTTTGTCCATTCAGGAGAGAAACCATTTGGCTGTGATGTGTGTGGGAATAAGTTTACACGACTGGAAAGTCTGAAGAGACATATGAGCGCTCACGCAGGAGAGAAACCAGTTGATTGTGGTGAAAGAGTTTCATCTCAGGAAAATTTGAAGAGACACGTGGGGGATGTCGTCCTGTCCCTTAGCGTCCCACTACCTCGAGTTAAACTGGACGACAAACTGGAGACTGAGCTCCTGGGTGCCCATCAGCCACAGAAGGATATTATCAACGAAAGTGCTGGTAAGAATAACCATACTTCATGAGTAATGACTCCCCAGGAGAAATATGCTCAGATGTTAGCATGCAAGAGTTGTCACATGACAGAATACCTTCTGCACATCTCATAGTTTTGTTCTTTTAGTAGTTTGTCACTAGTTACTCACTGCTGCACACTTGTTTTACCAGAACTTCACAATATGTTGCTCCCATTCAGCTGTTTCTGGTTTTTGTTGGTTTTCCTGCTTACAGCTACGTAGCATTTTGTAGTATTTGAATCTATGTTAAAGCTGTTAAGGATCTGTGTGAATACACGTACGATCACAATTTCCAATCATTTACATTATGTATTTCAGTGTTTCCTGCAGATGCCCAGCAACTGTTGGTACTTAAAGAAGTTCCCCATGAACTGGGTCCCAGTCTGGACCGACAGGACAAAGAGTCCCTCCACATAAAGGAGGAACAGGAGGAACTGTGGACCAGTGAGGAGGGAGAGCAGCTTAAAGGGCAGGAAGAGACTGATATCAACAGAGTCCCATTCACTTCTGGTCCTGTAAAGAGTGAAGATGATGAAGAGAAACCTCAGTTCTCACAGCTTCCTCAGAACCAAACTAAAGACAACAAAGAAGCAGAGCCTCCAACCAGCAGCTTAGCTGAACAGATGAAAACTGAAAGTGATGGAGGTGACTATGGAGGACCAGAACCAGTCAGGAACTTAGATGCAAATAATCAAATACAACCAAATCCTGATGGAAAGTTTTCAGACTTATCTAAGTCTGAAGTTAGTTATGATGATGATGATGATGATTACGATGATGAGTGGCAGGAACCTTTGTCAGATTTTAGACCTGCACCTAAAGACTGTGACAATGACTGGAAGGAGACCAGCGCTCCTGATTCAGATGCAAATACCGATGTAGGATGTAACACTGCCAAAAAAATCTTTGACTGCTCCGAGTGCGATAAACAATTTCTCCACAAACGTTCTCTTCGGCGGCACATGACGTGTCATTCAAGAAAAAAATCTTCCAGCTGTTCAGTTGATAAGAAATGTTTTGCAGTGGGACAAAATGTTGGTTCACAGATGAGAGACCACACAGGAGAGAGACAATATGACTGCGATGTTTGTGGACAAAAATTTACACGGCAGTATAATCTTAACAGACACAAAAGAGTTCACACTGGAGAGAAACCATTTAGTTGTGATGTGTGTAGTAAAAGATTTTCACGACCAGAGGATCTAAAGACTCACATGAGACTCCACACTGGAGAGAAACCATTCAAGTGTAATTTGTGTGGTAAAGGATTTAATCAGAAGATCCATATTAAAAAACACATGACCATCCACTCAGGTGAAAAACCAGTTGATGGCGGTGAAGCATTTACATCTCAGGAAAATCTGAAGAGACACGTGGAGGTTGCTGCTCTGTCACTCAACACCCTACTAGCTCCAGCTGAACTGGAAGAAAAACTAGGGATTGAATGCATTGGTGCCCGTCAGTCACAGGATGTTATCAACCAAACTCATGGTAAGAATAATCCATTTTTAAGTGTTGTTTCTCCAGGAGAAAACTGTTACCCAGTGAAATCAGTCTGACATTGGATATTTACCAAGAGAGGGCTGGTGTTCAAGTTTAACTTATGTAGGACGAACTGGAGATTTTCTCATGCTTGAGTTGAGGCTGCTGTTACAGTGGCAGTGGAGATTGTGGGTGACTGTTGCAATGTGTGTCTGCATCGTGATAAGCCTGTGATGCATCTGCAGTTCTAGGGTAACTGGTGGTCATGGTATATTGTGATTTTTGTTAACAGTTTAGCTCATCACAATGAACTCCAGATGTATATTATCACAGATCTGTCTTTTTCATTTTAGTTGTGGCAGCCAAAACAGACAGTAAAGATGACAGAGTGCTAAAAACATGCATGTTAAATTAGCCGCAATATAACATTTAATTTTAGACTACCAGCAATAAGTTAAACATAATTGAACAGATCTCCTCTTCCCAGCCTTCATAAACTTTTAGCTATCCCATACAAACAAAAGTGTGTTATAGAGCCTAATTATTTAGAAATGTTTTGCATTCTAGTAAGACTTGGTTGTTTTAAAGAAAATAGCCTATGCATGTACCCACATAGGCAGTGCTCCAAACACTAATAACATTTAAACTTCCACTCTGTAGTTATATTTAGAGTTTGACAATAAGTAGACAAATCTGTGAAAATGTGAATATGCACATAAACTAGGTATTAAAGGCGAAGTATTTTTTTGATCACGAGCTGGCAGTACAGACCGGTCATCAGTTACAGCTCAGGCAGAATTCTCAGTTTGCAGTTATTTTACACAAAAACGGTGTTCTGTGGTTTTAGCACATGAAAGCATTGTGCTACGTGGAAATAAAATCTGAAATCAATTATGAGCTTGTCAAATATTCCAACACATTGCAATATTTGATTAGTTCTTGTCTAGCACCGTTTTGGGTATTTTTGTATATATTATTAAAACTGCTGAGGATCTGTATGGATGTGTATGAAGTCCCAGTTATTCATTAAGTACGTTCGTGTTTCAGCGTTGCCTACAGATGTCCAGCAGCTGTTGGTGATTAAAGAAGAAGTTCCCTGTGAATGGAACTCCAGCCAGCAGGACCCAGAGTTCCACCACATAAAGGAGGAACAGGAGGAACTGTGGACCAGTCAGGAGGGAGAGCGGCTTAATGGGCAGGAGCAAACTGATAACACAAGGTTCCCATTCACTGCTGTCCCTGTTAAAAGTGAAGATGATGAAGAGACTCCTCCATCCTCACAGCTTCATCAGAGCCAAACTGATGACAACAGAGAGGCAGAGCCTCCAACGAGCAGCTCAGCAAAACAGATGAAAACAGAAAGTGATGGAGAGGAGTGTGGAGGACCAGAACTCAACAAGAACCCAGATCCAAACAGTCACATAGAACCAAATGCTGATGGAAAGGCTTCCGACTCTCCTGAGACTGAAGTTGATGAGAATGATAATGAGGATGAGTGGCAGGAACCTTTGTCAGACTCTGGTCCTGAAACTGAAGATGGTGACAATGATAGGAAGAAGACCAGGGCAACTGAATCAGGTGTAAATAGTGACGTGCAATGTAACACTGACATAAAACCCTTTAGCTGTTCTGAGTGTGGTAAACAATTTCTCTACAAGCAGTCTCTTCAGAGACACATGACATGTCATTCAGGAAAAAGATCATCCATCCGTTTGGTTAAGCAGAAATGGTTTAGAATGAAACAAAAAGTAGATTCTCAGATGAGAAATCACACAGGAGAGAAATCCTTTGGTTGTGATGTTTGTGGTAAAAGACTTAAGCATCAGCATAATCTAAAAATACACATGAAGCTTCACACAGGAGAGAAGCCATTTGGTTGTGATGTTTGTGGACAAAGATTTTCCCGAAACACATACCTTGAGGCACACATTAGAGTTCACACTGGAGAGAAACCGTTTGGTTGTGATGTGTGTGGACAGAGATTTACCCGAAACACGTATCTTGAAGCACATATGACAATTCACACAGGAGAAAAAACATTTAGTTGTCACATATGTAAAAAAGGATTCCGACATCAGTACAATCTTAATAGACACATGAGCGTCCACACAGGAGAGAAACCTTTTAGTTGTAACATTTGTGAAAAAAATTTTAGACATCAGTATAATCTTGATAGACACACAAGAGTCCACACTGGAGAGAAACCGTATGGTTGTGGTGTTTGTAATAAAAGATTTTCACAGCCAGCAGATCTGAAGAGACATAAAAGTGTCCACACAGGAGAGAAACCATTTAGTTGTGGTATTTGTGGGAAAAAATGTAACCAAAAGATACATATTAAAAAACATATGCAAATCCACACAGGAGAGAAACCATTTAGTTGTAGTATTTGTGGCAAAAGATTTAGCCAGAAGATACATATTAAAAAACATGTAAAAATCCACACAGGAGAGAAACCATATGGTTGTGGCATTTGTAGTAAAAGATTTTCTCACCCAGGCGATCTGAAGAGCCACAGGAGAGTCCATACAAGAGACAATCCATTCAACTGTAGCGTTTGTGGTAAAAGATTTCTGTGGAAGACCAATTTTAAAACTCACATGAGAATCCACACAGGAGAGAAACCATTTGGTTGTAGTGTTTGTAGTGAAAGCTTTAACCGAGAGGGAAATCTAAGGAGACACATGAGAATCCATGTAAGAGAAAAACTGTTTGACTGTGGTGACAGTGTTGCATCGCAGGGAACTCTGGAGGGACATGCCGGGGCTGTTGCTCTGCCACCTACCATCCCACTATCCCCAGCTAAACTGGAAGTTACCAGGGTTTAAAATGCCGCTGACCTTATTCTCAAATCTGCAGTAGAGATCACTGTCTAAGCCACCCTATGTAAGTGTGTCAGAGAACTGCATTGATATGTCATACCCTGGGTGAAAGTAAGCTATTCTTCCCAGCTGGCACTGGGGCAGAGGAGATGTTATCATGTCAACTGTTACTGTTGTAATCTGCAATTTTTCCACAGTTGTTCATATTTTGCATACTGTTGTACAGTTAGTAATACAAGAAACGGATTATGCTGTGAATGATGTTGTGTGCACGATTGGGACCATGGTTGACAACAATCGGTTGACTTGATGCAACATGGATCATGAATTTATTTACATCAATAAATCACAATTAAAGAGAAACCACTTCGTTGCTTAGTTTTTCTGATTTAAAAACATGATCTTGACAGAAACATGTATTTGCACTTTTTGCACTGGTTGACTTTTACTGCCACGTAAATCTTTCAATCACATCATTTTCCTCTCTGCTCCCTTTAAACTTCTAATAAAACTCTTAAATATGATATGGGAACTGGTCTGACAAAACATATGTAATCATTTAGGATTTCTACATTGCAGACAAATTGACCACATGTCCTTCTGGCAGATAATTAGGAATTGCTATTCTGGTAACATGATCAGGGAAATAAGGAAGAAGTGATACCTTTATACTTCATTTTCACATAGCTCTGTGTAGGTTTGTGAATCAGCTGGAACTCCATTCATTCTTGTAAGAACTTCTATGATTTTTTTTATGTGTTGTAACTCCTCCTTCCATTTCTTTCTTGCCTGGAATTTTGACTATATAATACATTTGAGTACAATCTCGAGTACGCTGACAAAATTGAAGCGCTTTACAATGTGTTTCCTCAGTCACACATTCACACATCGATGGTGACGGAGCTGCCATGCAAAGTGACAGTCGTCATCTCCCTATACTAGGCATTGATTTGTTTGTAGTTGGGGCTGCATCTGATGTAGTCTCGTCAGTTCATATGGTTTTGCCAGACTTTGTTATGCCTGGATTATTAGGGCATACCAATGAATGGAACACCACACAGCAACAACAACAAAAAAAACTAAGCCAGCGTCTTATAGATAACTCATAGTGAAACAAAAATTAGTGTATAACCTAAAACTATATTTGGCATAAAAAGAACCTATTGTTCACATTTAAAGGTTCTTAATTTTATTCAGAAAAATTAATAAACCCATGTGTAAAATTAAGTAGTGAGATATTGTCCTTAGTAAAACAAGGTTCTGTTAAGTTCCACCAAGTATCTTTGCCCCCAACTTCCAGCCAAACAAGAATTTGTCCTATTGCCACAAAACAGACTCACAATTCATCATCTAATGCAAACAAGATATCAGCCTTTATCTTTAAAATGTATTTTTTGTACGCTTTGCAAAGAACCATGTAAGTCTGCTTTCCAGCTTGCAACACAAATAATGTTTATTTCCAGCAGTTTAGGACGTCTTGCACAGCAGCTGGTAATATATTGTGATTTACAGAGTGAATCACCAAAACAAATACAATAGAATTCTGTCAAGCTATTTAAAAAACACAAACAAACAAACAAACAAAAATCAAAGGTAGCAACCATGAGCCAGGCCGTATACACAGATGGAGACTGTTTAATTATAAATCACAATTATAAAAACACTCCTGCAAATATACAGCTACTACCCTGTGTGACTTTTCGAGTGTCTATTTAAACTTCCCTGTTGTGTAAATGTTTTACCACAAACATCGCAACCAAATGGTTTCTCTCCTGTGTGGACTCTCATGTGTCTCTTCAGACTTCCCTGCTGAGTAAATCTTGTTCCACAAACACCACAACTGAACTGTTTTTCTCCAGTGTGGACTCTGACGTGTATCTTCACATCATGGTGATGTACAAACTTTTTACCACACACATCGCATACATACGGTCTTTCTCCTGTGTGGACTCTCATGTGTGTTTTGAGATTTGTCTTTCGGTTAAATCTTTTCTTACAAACGTCACAACCAAAAGGTTTCTCTCCTGTGTGGACTCTCATGTGTGTTTTAACATGTGCCCTACGGTTAAATCTTTTACCACAAATGTCACAACCAAATACTTTGCTACCAGTGTGAACTCTCATGTGTTTCTTAAAGTATGTTTTCAGAGTAAACCTTTTACCACAAAGATCACAGCCAAATGGTTTCTCGCCCGTGTGGACTCTCATATGTCTCTTCAGAACTCCCTGTTGTGTAAATCTTTTAGCGCAAACACCACAACCAAACGGTTTCTCTCCTGTGTGAACCCTCGTGTGTCTTTTAAGATTTTGTTGCTGTGTAAATCTTTCACCACAAACACCACAAATGAAGGGTTTCTCACCCGTGTGGATTCTCACGTGTGCCTTAAAACTATCATGATGTCTAAATCTTTTGCCACAAAGATCACAATGAAATGGTTTCTCTCCTGTGTGAACTCGCATGTGTGTCTTAAGATTTTGTTTTTGTTTAAATCTTTTTCCACACACAAGACAGCTAAATGGTTTCTCTCCAGTGTTGACTGTCATCTGTGAATCTATATTTCTCTTTACTTTCAAAATGTTATTATTAACCAAACAGCTGGAAGACCTTTTTCCTGAATGACACATCATGTGTCTCTGAAGTGATTGCTTTAGAGTATCTGTACCCGACTCAGATGCCAAGTGATCATTGTTCCTGTCTTTAGTTTCAGATTCAGAGTCTGTCAAAGGTTCCTGCCAATCATCGTCGTCTTCGTCATCCTCCTCCTTCTCCTCATCATCACTAATACTGACTTCTATCTCTGAACAGTCTGAAGCCTCTCCATCACTATTTTGTTGCAAATTACTATTTGCATCTGGTTTTTCATCTTGTTTTGGTCCTCCACGGTCCTCTCCATCACTGTCTGTTTTCATTTGTTTAGCTGAGCTGCTGGTTGTCTCTTTGTTGTCTTCAGTGTGGCTCTGATGAAGCTGTGAGAACTGAGGTTTCTCTTCATCATCTTCACTCTTCACGGGAACGTCAGTGATTGGAAACCTGGTGTTGTCAGGCTCCTCCTGCCCATTAAGCTGCTCTCCCTCCTCACTGGTCCACAGTTCCTCCTGTTCCTCCTTTATGTGGAGAGGCTCTGGGTTCTGCTGAACTTCTTCTTTGATCACCGACAGCTGCTGGACATCTGCAGGAAACACTGAAACACACATGTACATTATCAACAACTGTGACGCTACAGATATTACCACAACACTTCAGCAATTTATTCTAAAATTAACCAAAAAACACAGAGCTCCAAACTGCGACTAGTGTCTTCTCGTCAGCTTAGGCCAGGCTCACACAACAGGAGTTTTGGGCTGATTTACTCCTGCTTCACCCTTAACAACAATCAGAGGAGAAGTCTGGACTGGCATCTGGATCTGAACCGATGCTGGACCCAGATTACTTGGAAATCTAAGCAGTTTATGGATCCAGATGAGCGAAGGATTGCGTCCAGTTCAAAGCTAGAGGAAGAAAAAACCAGAGCGTCACCTTTTCTCCCACCCAGTGCCGCTCCAGTTTATCTCCTGCGCCGCTCACATCAAAAGCTCAAAGCATAATCTGGGGAAAAAAATGTCAAATCAGTGGAGCTCTGGTTTTATTTGCACTAGTTAAAGTTAAAACTAAGAGTGCACAAGTCTAAGAGCTAGGAGTAGACACTTTTAGGTCCAGCCTGAAACCTCCTGAAATGTTTTAGAATGGACAAAGAGCATAATTTTATTTTTAAAAACTATTTTTGTATCATGTTTTGTCAGGAACTGTCCACAAAACTGAAAAGAAAAATCACGACTGAACGTTTTGATTCTAAATAACAACAGCAACAAAAAAAACTTTTTGATTCAGAATATATTTATTAATAAATCAATGTAAACAGGTGTAAATTGTGTGTCAGACACTGGTAGCATTTACTAAACACTTCAGTTTCATCTTTCAAATCCACCTAATGAGTAATTAAATCCAAACGAGCCCAAATATTTGAAATACATGTATATTTTTAAAGACGGACTACAAATTAACTTTGACATGTGCACGCTGTAAACCGTCCGGGTGTTGCACTGTGCTCTGGAAGATGAGTTCCACCTTTTTTTTTATTCCGACAACATAAAGTTAAATCTAGAAAACGATTTTTGTTGGTATTCATGAATCCATGTAAAAACACTCCTCCTCCTCCAGCCTCCCTCCCAGCAGCTAGCAGTTAGCAGCTTCCTCCACATTAGCTGTGATTCTTCTTACCAGCGGTTTGCTTCAGAACAACGTCCTGCGGCTCATGGAGGCGTTTCATCCGCACTTTGCCCTCCAGACACACACTGTCAGTCCGCTGCTGCTGGACAGAATCCACCTGGTTCATGGTGTCACATCTGCTTCTCTTCTTTAAAACTGACCGGAAGCTGACAGATGAGACGATGACAGCCGGTTAGATTTCCGTCAGAGTTGATTAATTAATGAGAGCTGATAGAAACTCAAACAGGAAGGAGACGTGCTCCGTTTTTATTAGATTTTTTTATTTATTTTTTGACGCTGTGTTTTAAACAGGCATCTACACAGACACCTTTATTCTCTTCAGCATCCGTTTTTTCGTTCATGTATTCTTAAAACGTTTGTGTTGTTTTTCATCTTTATCATTTAATATCTTCTAATATTCACACATTTAATTTTGTTCTACGTAAAAAACACAATTAATAATCCGAGCAGCTGTAAAGTGTGAAAAGAAACAGCGACTCTGGTTGACTTGAGTGTTTAATCGGGAGATTTCACTGCCCTCGTGTGGCCGCTTTGAGGAACTGCAGCAGAATCCTGTCCAAATGACAGCGCTTCTGGTAAGTCCCTTCAAAATAAAGTGTTACAACTTACGCCACCACAAATAAATAAATAAAAATATTGAACTAATTGTTTGAGGTAACAGCTGATAATCACGCAGCAGACAGGAAGCTGTGGCATCAGTAAAGGCATGTATTTATGTTCATGGTTTACCAATTCTATATTAAAAGCTGAATGTGAAGAAGGGAAAATTAAATCTGCAATCACTTTAAATTTGGCCTGTTGCATAATTTATTGTCATTTTCCACTTGTGTGATTGTGTGGAAATATTTTATATACACTTACATTACAGTATTATGAATAATGAGTAAACATTAATATTGTTTTCATTGTTTGCTAACAGTAAAATGACTATAACTAAAGATTAGCTGACTGTAGATTACCAGTAAGTAACAATGGCTACCATGAAGTGTTACTGTTCTATTAGAGCTGCAACATATTCAATATATTGATTAGTTGTCAACTATTAAATTAATTTCCATCTGTTTTGATCATCAATTGGTCTGTTTGCAGCTTCCTAAAGGGGAAGATTTTCTGGTGTCTTCCCTTCTCTATGACAGTCAACTGATATCTTTGGGGCTTTGGGGCATTTGAGGAAATCTCCTGGCGCTCTAATCAATGTTTTCTACAATTTTATGACAGTTTATAGGCCAAAGAACAACTAGATTAGTCGAGAAAGGTCAACCAAAAGTGAAAATAATCATCAGTTGCAGCCCTACGTTGACCTGAGTGCTGAATGGTTTGATTATTTTGCAGGTAAGTTCTTTCCTGTTTGCTCAGTTCCATATTCAAAACACTGTATTTGACTTGCCATATTGATTGCTTCTCAAAATAAGTTGCTATTTTAAAAAAAAGAAAAAAGAAAAGAAAAAGAAACCAGCAAAATGTCAGCAAGATTTGTAGTATAATAAAAAAATATTGGTTAACACAAATTACTGTGATATGTGAATTCAATTAATAAAACAGACCTCAGTATAATTTCCAGCATTCACAGCGACTGCTTTGGTCGATTCCTGATTTTTAATTTTTTTTCCCCCCCCGTTTTTAGTAGTTGTTTTGTTTGTCTTACTTTGAAAGTGATTGCTGGAAGTTTAGATTGACGTGACGTTCTTACTTCAGCTAGCTTGATTAAAGTACAACTGCAGTTCCACAAAAGCGCCACCAGAGGGCAGTGCAACCCCGCGACTTTTACTTCCCACTTTAAACCCAGTTTGGGCTGTGTTTGTATTTCCCCGGTTCTTTGTTTTAATTTAATTATATATATCGTTAATTTAATAAACGATCATCTGCCGTAGATTATCTTCAGCAGAGGTTTTCAGTTTTTGTTCGGAGAAAAGTTTGTCCCTGGCCAGACTCCGTCCTTCCTGATGTGGGTGTGGACACAGATGACTACACAAATAATGGAGGAGAAGCTGCCCAAGTCTTCCTCCTGAAAACAGTTTCACATTGAACTAGTTTCGCGTCCCTCTCCCGGCTGTACACTGTAGCTGGCATGCTGTGTCAGGATGGGAAATCTGTTTGGGAAAAAGAAACAGACCCGAGTGACAGAACAGGACAAAGCCATTCTGGTAAGAGGCACAGCGAGCTAGCATTAGCATGCTAACAGAACTGTTGGTGTTAGCCTCGACGCTCTGACCTGTCAGCAGAGCGAGCCGTGCAGAGCTGCGCTGAGATTTATGCTAATTTAAGCAATTTTGCATTTCAGGAATCTGATACAATTGTTTTATTAAACAGAACTAGATATTTTTTCACTCTTTAGAAGCGGCTCTTCAATTCGGCACGAGTATATTTGAAAAATAATGTAGTTAACTTAGTCTGACACCAATCTGCCCTATTTAATGTTCAGATTAAAGCAGTAGCAGGCAATGTGAAATTTGTAAAAATTAAAAGTTGTAACAAAAGGTAGTTTTTTTTTGTATGCCGATATTTCTCGAAGAGCCTCACAAATGTCTGGTGGTGTTGTTGTAGTGAAATGACTTGTGACAAATCATTAATTTAGATTTTAGCTGCAGTAGTCTGACAGTGCAGCAGGTTCGGTGACTGACAGCTGCAGTATCTCCACCCAGAACAGCAAGAAGCTGAAGGATTGTGTTAATAATTTATTCTGAGGTACGCCTGAGTGTACATTGCAGGTTTACATGTCACGCCTGTGCTTCTTTATTGCAGCAACTGAAACAGCAAAGAGATAAACTGAGGCAGTACCAGAAGAGGATCAACCTGCAGCTGGAGAAGGAGCGGCTTTTAGCCAAGCAGCTGCTCAAGAATGGCAAGAAAGAGTGAGTACAGAAAGAAATGACAGATAACTTTGTCTAGGGGGGAAAACATCTTACATTGGAATATCTGTGTGTTTTTCTTTTTCAAATGACAGCAGCGGATATGGAGTATTCTGGATTTGTCAACATCCAAATGCTAAAATAATAATTAAAGTAGGAGATAGTTTCCATGAGCAGCTCTGTGCAGAAGTTTAAGGCGATAAAAGCAAAATGAGGAAAGTTTAATTCAATTTACAGAGTGCAGTGAAAAAGCAAACAAGTCTAAATCAAACAGTTGTGACTCACGTTTGCTGTTATAATCCTCTTCAGACACAGAATACGTAACATCAGTCTGTTAAAGTGAGTCCATTCTGTCACTTTTAATGTTCCTCATGAGCAGAGAGTCACTGTGTGATGTTTGTCAAACACGTGAGATTTGAACCTGAAGCACTGTACAAAACATAATAATCCAGTAATATCACCAAAAACTAAATCTAAACTACTATCAAACTTATCAAGCTCTCAGTTTTCAGAGATGCTCGTGTGGATCTGAAACAGCTGGAAGCAAACAACAAACAAACTAAAATAAACTAATTAGATTAAAATTAATCCGACCTGTTACAGCCTCTGTGTTAACTGCAGCGAAAGAGAAAATGTGTTTTGTGTGTCTTTTGCTCCCTGTTTCTTGGTGGTTTTATGATGAACTTAAATGATCGCAGTCGGATTGTTCAAACAACTTAAATGCATTTAGGTTCCTACACTAAATTCTTTTTTTTTTTAGGCAGAAAGTTGTAAATAATTTATTGTGTTTTCTAATTTTCTTAGTTCAAGTTTTAATGTCCGGGTGATTCTTATTTTTTGTGTAACAGCAAAGCACTCCTCCTGCTGAAGAAGAAACGCTACCAAGATCAACTCCTGGACAAGACGGAGAACCAGATCAGCAACCTGGAACGAATGGTGAGTGAAAGGAGAACGGGACAGAACCGACGCTCGGCTCGGCTCAGAGCGACGCTAACATCTCGTCTCTGGTTTCAGGTTCAGGATCTGGAGTTCGCTCAGATTGAAAGGAAAGTCATCGACGGGCTGAAAGTCGGAAACGATTGCCTGAAGAAAATGCACGAGGTGGGAGACGGAGTTTTCTCACGTCTGATGCGTCACATGTTCATCGTATCTGCGTAATGTTTTTATTTATGGGCTCTGCTTGACTCTGTGTCCCATCAGGTGATGTCTATCGAAGAGGTCGAACGGATTATGGATGAAACTCAAGACGCCATCGAGTACCAAAGGGTGAGTCCAGCTTTATTATCAGGAAAATACAAGTTCATCTGTTTCTTTCACCTGCAGTAAGCACAGCCTCCAAAAGTCAAAATAAGGAGTTTTTTTTCAAAATTAAAAGACATTTCTTGGTATTTCTGGATCATCATAACACATTTAGCAACAAGGTTAGTCAGGCTTGAGCTAAATTCTTCACTTTTATTTGGGACTGTTTGGTCTGTGGCTAATGTCTAAACTAAACTTGAAGTAGAAAGACTCGTTGCTGACTGTGAGCTTGTTGTCTTTCTGCAGCAAATAGACGACATGTTGGCCGGTTCCTTGACGCAGGAGGATGAAGACGCTGTGCTGGCTGAGCTGGAGGCCATAACTCAGGTTAGTTTGATCAGGATCTAATCTGAAATCCAGGTTTGTTTGTTTTTTTAAAAAAATCAGATCACTTGTACAGACGTAAAATCAGCGCTCTGCTCTTCATTTGTATCTGAACTCTCTCAGGGAGACGTGGAGCTTCCTGAGGTTCCTACAGACAAACTGCCAGAAGTCCCCGAGGCTGCAGAGGAGAAACCAGGTTTGTGGTTTTTCTTTGTCTCAAAAAGACGAACCTTTCTATGTGAGATGAGGAATAGGAGCTAAAAGTGCTTTTCTGCAACACGATGGAGTGAAAGACGAGGCTGCAAGTCCAATGACTGCAGTGTTTTGCATCAGCTCTTGGGTTTAGCTGCTCATGGCTCATTAGGCCAAACACAACAACCTGCAGTAGATTCCTCAGCGTGTTCTTCTGCATTCTTTACTCGTTTTAGAAAATATTTCAGCGCTGCATTTTGTTTTTCACCAAGTATTGTAAACTTCTCCACACATTAACAAAAACAAAAACGCTGCTAATGTAGCGACTAGCTGGTGATGTTTCCTGAACCACATCCAGCTGCTGCTCACAACAATACAAAACTAAACAGGTAGAATACTTTCAATATTAAACACTTGGTCAATTTGATTTGAAGCGGAGCTCAAAGATTTTTCACAACAGCGCCGATTTTTGTTTTCAAATTTCAACTCCCCCATAATCAGAGATTGTTTGATCTACTTGTCCGATATTCCAGCTTCTGAATCAATGACATGATGAGAAATAACTGTGAAAATTTCAGGCTTTTATCTTTAATAGTTGCTGTGATATCGTCATTCAAACAGCCTAAAAAAAAAACACCTGCTGAAAGAAAAATAATTCGATTCAAGTATTTGATATGTGGAGCTAAAACTTCACAAATGCCATTTTAGATATCCAGAGTTTATGATTAATACGTTTCAAACGAACCAGAGATGGTCGAGCAGAAGGAACCTGATGATTTGAACCTGGAGTGGTGAGAAGAAATGTGTTCTAGCTTCACTGTAATGTCCATAAATTGGGTTCTGTGCAGTGAAAAGTTGATTTTAAACTGAGGAAAACCGTAGCGCTGCATCTTTTCCCTTTCAGAGCGGGAACGTCCGAGGAAGAAGCCAGAGCGAGAGATGCTGGCTGCGTAGAAGCGGCCTCCTCACGTCCACTCGCTGGCTGCTGAAGTCCTTCATGATCCAACGAACCACACAAACATTTTGCCGGAGAGCTCGCTGTCCCTCCGAGGCCCGCGACACGGCGACGGCGGCCGCGTCGCCGGGCTTCCTCCATCCCATCCAGCGGCTGTTTGTCCTCACGTGAAGCCGGTCCGGACCGGGTCACCGCGGCACCCGGCGGAAAAATGCTGATTTGAACCATGAAGACCTGTGAGATCAGATCATTGTGCCTAACCTCCGTCTGATTATTGCTCTTTGTTTACCACTAAATCATTTTACGTATAACCGCATGTCTGTATTTTCATTTATCACGTTTGTCAGCCTTTAAAGGGTCAGTTCAACCCAAATTACAAAAAGACCTCATTTGCACTTGGTTTTATTTTGGGCACATTTGGTTTATTCACAAGTTTTTGGGTTTTCTCTCTCTCTCTGATATTCTCGTGAATTTCTTCAAATTTGACGCAGCCATTGGCTTCACTGTGAGCATTAACTGATTAGATTTCCTCATGAAACACAATTAACTCCAGAATTTACGCGAAAATTACGAAAAAATTTGGCGCGAATGTCTAAAATTTGGCTGCACACACACACAGGATGAAACCAACAGCGAGGTGGCGACCGGAGAGCTTTGGTGGGAGATGAGTTAAACTAATCTCAACTCTGAGGCGACTACGAACGTGAGCGAAGGATTCAGATGATACCGAGTTCACCGAACCTTCACCGCATCGAAACAGCTTCCACGACGCTGGTTTGTACCGTTCAAACACAACGAAATTTAAAAAAACAAAACACATAACTGCACTCAGAACTTACGTTTCATATCTGATTTATTGTTTTAATTTTTTTGAATTGTCACCGTTGAAGTGAAAGTTAGCCAGTTTCACGCTTCAGGCTGGGTTACCACGGCAACCGGAGCCTGTAACATCACCGAGCGACCAGCTGTCAAAGTGATGCTTGATGTGTGAGTCATTTTATAAGTAGGAGGTGATTAATAGGTTAAAAATAATGAAGTGGTGATGTTTTTCTTTACTGCAGCGTCAAAAAGTTCTGCAGAAACACTTTTGTGGTTGTTGTTGTTTTTAGCAGCGTAACTCGGCAACAGAAGGAGCGGCTGTGAGCATATTTCACATTCGGTTGGGAACCATCAGCTGTTATTGGTGGCTGTTAAATGATGAGACTTAAGACTGTAGTTCAGCTCTGCGGCTTCGTACCTCGAGTATAGAGGAAACTTTGCGGAGAAAGAGGCCTCGGCTGTGGGAAAACGGTTTCATCCTTCACCAGGACAACATGCTCTCTTTGTACTCCATCACTACTTTGACCTTTTCCCTGAAATCAAATCTGCACTCGAGGGATCCCGTTTCACATTTGTACCAAAGTTGAAGAAGAAAATGAGCTTCTGAGCTTCTTGTTTGATGGAAAGCTGGAGTGCAGCAGGTGTCTTATAAGTCTGGAAATACAACCTGAAGGTGTTTCTTCTAGTTTGTTCAAGTTTTGGGATATAATCTCTGAATTTCTGCTTCTGTCTGAATGTAAGAGGTGAACAGAAATTCATCTGTGATGCTCAAGGAATTTACAAACAATATTTTACAAACTCAGCAGCAGCTTCTCTGTCCAGAAAACCTTAACGGAGTCCACGTATATGTTTAATTAGGACTGCTTTCTGCCTGCCCGTTTTGTTGCTTGCCTCTCTTTCTGAGAACCAACCAGAAGGGAAAATTAGTATATTTTATATATTTTTGGTTTAATGAAGGTGCCTCCTGTCTTTTCAAAGTCAGAATATATCTAGTTAGAAGTAGAAGATGATTTATTTCTGCCTTTTACTAATAATATCTTTTTCAACTGCCAAAAGGAATGACTTGAACGTTCAGCTGGACTTGGATAAAACTAGCTGCATATTTTTTCTTGCAATTTGGGTGAACTGACCCTTTTATAAAATTATTATCGTGCTGTGTAAAGTCTTATCGCCTCACACTCCAGGCCTTATCTCGGTCCGTGTTGCACTTACCCCCAACCCTCGCCGGAACTTTTCCCCAACTACCAAAACATTTTTGCATCACTTTCACGGAATATTCTCTCCGTCTGACCCCCTTTTCAAGCAGCTTAACTAATCTAATTCCGTGCTCCCCTTGTGGATTAGTTCAGTGTCATTGGAGAAAGGGCTAATCATATCGTCCGTGGGCTTACCTCCGCAGCCCAGACAACAGCTGGTAATCTCCTCCACGTAATAACTTGACAGAACGTGGATCTTTACCCGGCGAGTATTATCCACACTGTAATTATTTTACCGGAGTCGCTCATATAGATACGTGTTCAACTGCGGCAAGAACGGTGGCCTACATGTGTGCGGCTTAAGCATCTTTGAAGATCCATCTAACTAATCTGTAAATCAGTTAATCTGGCAGACAGAAAAACACCGATGACTAACACCATCAGGCAGCGAAATGCTCGTCTTGATTCGGAAGTTGTACCTCTATATCTCTCTCTGTATATTCTTTTTACAATAAAAGTGTTTTTTTTATTGTCTTTTGTTGCTTCACTGCAGCTTCGAAGGTTTTGATTCAGCCATTGAACACAAGGTGGCAGCAGGAGACAAATAGAAAGTGGGTTCGAGGGGAAGTCTGGAGTGTTTTAGCTCCACATGAGGTAGCTTAGTGCTCCAGTGGGTTCTTCAGACTGTGTGGAAACAGTTTGCCCCGCTGCAGCTTTAGCGTCGCTGTGCACAAAGTTGGCAGCTTGAAGGAATGTTTCTGTAAGTTGTCTCAGTTTGGTGTTAAAAACTGGCGCCTTTGGGTCGAGCTGTGCGGCTTGGTTGTGCTCATATCACCCAAAACTCAGTGATGAACCTTACTGGTGCTCTTAAGTCTCCACAGATGTGTTCAGCATGTGGTGGAAACCCTGAAATCAGGAGAGTGGATTCTTTATGAGATTAAACTATTGTGTCAAAGCTTTTTCTAATTTATACCGTTCTCCTTGTTTAACAGTGATTATGGATACATTGAAGATCTGTCTGGTCGATTATCGGGGCCAATATTTTTTCAAATATCTCTTTTTCAATTGACTGATTATTGATAAATTTGCCACATCAGGTCTGATGCAGCCTCCTCTCTTTGTCTGTCGTCACTCTGTAATCTCAACAATGTCTCTCAACCAGCAAAAACTGAACAAGAACCACATGCCTCAAAGCAGGAAGTTAGCTGCTCTCACGGTGGCTAAAAGCGAGCGGCTAAGTTAGAAGGCAGCCACAGACGAACCTGAAACCGAGTCGGTAAAACAATCATTAGTAGTGCTTTGAGATCTGGGCAATAGAAGTGATACGACAGAGAGGGTTTAGGAAATTGGGGAGGGGCCAACTTGTTCAGGCCCGTTTATTCCCCCTTAACCGGGGCGGGGGTTCTTTTTTTTTTTTTCCTTTTTCGTTTTTGTTGGCCTTCTTTATTGAGGAGGCTTATTTTTGATTGCCTTTTATTTGTTTTTGTTTCCAATTTTGGTTTTTCGGGTTTTTTTGTTCCCCATTATTCGGCCTTGAAAACCCATATCAGTCTATTTGTGATGGTGTCTCATGTGCTAATGCTCCATCACATGTTTTAAATCTGTTGGTGAGCATTAAACTGATTCTTGCTGATGACGTTCTCGAGCATCCGCACACGTTTGGTCACCAAACGTCAAATATTCCTGCGAATTACGCTCGCTGAACAAAGCCTGGGTTCTGACATTCCGCCGTTGGGGCCTGAAATAGCCTGAATTGTCTTGAATCCACTCCACGGCGCTGCCCTCCTTTCTGAATGGACTCGCTCCACTCTGCAGCTGACTGCACTACAAGCCTATTTGTTGCCGCTGTGTGGGAGTGGGCGACGCACAGACAGGAACCTGAATGCCAGGGCGCCGCGCTGATGAATCACGGACGTGGCTCTGAGGCGCAGAGAGAGAGGAGAGGAAAAAAAGAAAACGATGGTGAGTAGGCTGGACGTGAAGGGGGGAGATCAAATACTGCTGAATAGATGCTTCAGGTATGTAGGTGTGTGTACGGCCTGCCCACCCAGTCCTGCCTCACGGTCTTGCCTACCTGTCTACACCCCCACTGTGGAGCGAATGCACTTACACTTATCTCCGGTTGTTGATGTAACCTCTAAAAGCTCATCTGTGTGGATCAAAGTCACATATTTAGAAAGTTATGTGCATGAAAATAAGCCCTTCCTACCTTAAAATGGCTCAGATGTAACTCCGCACTGTTGCGTCCTCACCACTCACACTGTAGAACCACTCCGCCATGGCAAGTTGTGATACTGGGGCTATTTAGCCACTTGTGTTGGAGCCTGAAACCGATTCTGAAGAAGAATAATGATACAGAAACCCTCCAAGTTGACAGGATCGGTTCCTTAGATTTGCTGCGTACACCTCAGAGGTTTGAATCTGTGTTTTTGAGACTGTTGTTGGAGTTCATTTGTAGTTTTAAGATAAAAATGATCATGATATGTCTTCCAAAATAATAATAAAAAACCCATATGAACATGTTCACAAGGTGAAAAGCTTGATTTTCAGCAGAGCTGGTCTTTATAGAGCAGGTCCAAGTGAAGTCTTGTGTCATTTTAGGAAAGTTTATGCCAATTCTCAAGTCTGAACGTATAATAAGTATATACAGACTTGCTTTGATGTGATTTATTTATTTTTTTGGCCTTTGTTGGATAGTATAGTCAGAGAGACACAGGAAAGTAGGGGAGAAGAATGGGGGGAGGACATGTGGGAAAGGGTCATGAGCAGGATTCAAACTCATGACCTCCACATTGGGACTGTAGCCCTGTACATGGGATGCCAGCTCAACCAGGTGAGCTATAGCGGCGCCCCTATGTGATTTATTTTATGTATTTATTATTACTATGTTGTCCTTGTCACTATGGTTTTACCCAATATTTTCTTTTATTCCACTTGTTCATTTTCCTCAACAGGATATGGCATTTTTGGGCCTTTCATTGGTGTTTTTCTGTTAATTTATTTAGTAAATCTTTTACCACATTTCAAATACAAAATTGAAACAGTTGAGTTATGTGAAAATTCAGCACCAATATAATTGCCATGAACAGAAAGAATAGCTATAGAGATCAAAGCTGTTTCTCACACCAGACTGTAAACATGTTTATTTCTGCTGTAAAGTTGGACATTTTAACATGGAGGTCTATGGGGACTGACACACCTTTGATGCAGCCTCAAGTGGACATTTGTGGAACTGCAGTTCTTGGCGCTTGTTGGTCCTGTTAAAATTTTAAACCTGTTTAAACTACACAAACACCGAAGTGTGACAATGACAAGTTGTGATTTTAGAGGGGTTTGCTCTATGTGTGACCTATGGTGTGTCTTAGCTCAGTGTAGCGTCTGTAGGCTAGCTGGTTCAACTTGTTTCCAGTCTTTATGCTAAGCTAAGCAACTGGCTGCATGGGTGTACCCTCACATTTGGGGTGCAGTTCATTGGTATCATACTCTCTTGTGTACAAGCTTTAGTGTGTTTCAATACAGCATACTCCAAAATGCAAAAAATGCCAGGATGCAAAATGAAGTACCAATGGTATGCAACAGTACAACATGAAAGAAAAAGTAAAGAGATTTAAAATGTAGGGTTGGTTTACAGACATAAAAGTGACATTAGGCTGTCTAATTGTTCCTTTAGCAGGCAATTCATAACTCTGAAATTTTGTGACTTGAGTCCCAGTTTCAATATCCAGTCTGCAGCTCTGCATACATGGGAGCTGAAAATCCATTTGCTGTGATTTCAGTTGATTTTTTTTACAAATGTTCACACTTTAGCTGAGCTGTGTAAGGCTTTTTGGTCAACCCTCGTCAAACAAGTCTCAAATTAAGTTTAAACTCCTTCAGTTTTTTCACTCCTCTAAGTGCTTAAACATGCAGGATTTTCGTTTTCAGTTGTCGAGTCATCCTTCGGGGAGTCAGGTCTGCGGTAAGATTGCAGCCAACTGAGTCAAGCTTTAGTTTTTGTCACCTCAAATCTGACTCGTGTCCAAGTCTCAAGTCTGCAGCTTTGTGTGCAGACGAGATTCAAGTTTCTGGCTCTTGGGTGAAAATCCAAATCAAGTGGCAAGTCTTCTCGAGCAAAGTGCAAGTTAGTTGGATGTCTTTTCTTACATCATGTAAAGCCTGTACCTGCTGCTGTTTTAGTCTGTTTTTAATTGCAGTGTTAAAATTAGAAACTTTTTTTGTCATTGTTTTTTAGTCTTGAGTCCTGTTTTTTTTTTTTAAATTCAAACCTGACTTTGGTCTCATGTCTCCTGCTTATTACTTGAACTAACCATGATTGACGATCAATATTTTAATTAATTAGCATATTATTATGGGTTGGCAGCCAGCAAACATAATGGGAGCTTACATTCAATTATGGAAACTAATTGTGGGGATTGAATGCTCACAGAGGAGTGAATCAATAGCCTCGCTGACAGTGGGAATGTTGCTGTTTGCTCCGGCGAAGACCAAACATGCCCGATTGATTTTCACTGACTGTCTGCAGTTCGGTCTCACTTTAATCAGATGTGGCAATCAAAACAAAATAAGTGTGTTCTGGTAGCGAGCCGTGGTTCCACTCTGTTATCTTTGCTACCCGCAGCACTAAAATATCTATTTTATCTTGCTGAAGAGAGAAAAAAAAACAGCCGTGACTGTCCTCCTTTTTAGTGGCCTTCTGTTATCTTCTGCTTTGTCTCTTTCTCATACATTCAAAGGCCTTCAGATCGTGATGCGCTGGGATGTGTGGGATTCCCCAACCCACCATACAAGGCTTTGAAATCCAAGAAAATGTGGCTTCATCCCACTCATACCAGGCAGAGCCCACTCAGCCAAGAGCCACACCAATATAGAGCAGAAATGTGCAGTTAATCTCTGGCTCTGTTGGTTTGTTAAATGGTGCATTGTCAAAAAAACAAATACAAAAAACCCCCCCCTTCCTCTTTGACAGAGGACATCTGAGCTGCAGGATGAATAAGACACACAGAGAGATGCATGTGAGAACAACGTGAACACATTGTAGTGATTGTGTGTTTAGGTAGATCTACCGAATCAGTGGCTACTCCGGTTTCTTTGCAGAGATGCTCAGTCAGGTCTTCTGAATGGTTGTAGCAGAGGCGGCGTGGGCAGCGTGTGACACAGCGGAGCAGGCGTGGCTTCTTTAAATGCCATGCTGCATTTCTGGACTCGCTGTAAAGCACTGAGATAACAGCATCACACTGCCAGATGCTTCAGGATTCATTTGTGATGGAAAATAATGTTGGCTGGTTGAGAGGCAGAAATACATTTGATACCAGAGTGATGTTTTAGTATAAAAATCAAGAGAAATTGACATAACTCAGCCTTTTTTTGCCCCAATCACTTTGTACTCCAAATACAGGCTAAAAATACATTATAAATGTGGCATAATCGAGTCTTTTAGTGTGAAAGTTTGGGCTTTTTTTTTCTTTTAAATTGTCAAATAATGTCTCTTTGTTGAATCAGCACTAAATTAGCCACGTTAATCCTCATAATTACTAATGCTGTAGTGTATTTGACTTTATATTAGTGAGGTTAAGTTTCATAATTCATAGTACTGTATGATCTTAGCTATAATATTACATAAGTGAGGTTATTCTACATGACTGATAACACTATAAGGTCTCAGCAGTGTGTTGTAGTCGGGTAAAGTGGTATTTTAGAGATTTTTTGTTGGTATTTAACCCCTAATATGTAAATTACTGAGGTAAAATCCTACAAAAAGTAACACTACAGGGTCTTCACCCCAATATTTGAACTTGTCAGGTTAATTCAAAAAGCCAGTTATATTCAATATAAAAAAAAAAACGATGACAAACAAAAAACAATATAATTCATTTTCTCAGCAGTGAACTCACCTGTTGGCTACCAGGTGGGGAAAGTGGGGAACTGTTATTGGAAAATGTGTGACCTCCAACAGGCTCCAAGATTAAAGTTTGTCTAAACGTCTGTGCTGAGATGCTTTTGGAAATGTGTCCCATCATAACAGGATCTTAAGTTGGGTGCTGCGTTTTCAGCCAGCCTTGAGCACCCAGCTGTCTTGTTGATGAAAGTCTAAGATTCATTTTTTTTTTGTGGCAAATTGTTAAATTTCTTTCTATTTTTAAAGAATTTCCACACAGCAAATGTCAGACACGAGAAAACAACGGAGCATATTTTATAGTGTGAGAAACAGTGTTGTTAATATGGAAACCAGCAGCTACACTGTAAAAAAAAACTAAATCAACAAAAATGAACGCACCAATTTATATAAATTTTTGTTTGCGTTATGACAACTTCTATTGAATTTATAATCAACCATCTACACTGAATTAGACTAATTGAAGTTATTTTAATTTACTAAACTGGTAGAATTAACACAATAAGCTGATTATTTTCAAATTATGTTGTTCCAACTCCAATTTTCATGGTCTGTTATGTATCTAACTACCATTATTATGAACCCTTTTCAAAAAAACCCATTTATTTGGCAAGTTTAAAAAATTAAGCTCCATGGGATGTAGGGGAGGGGACGTGAACTTCTGACCTCAAGGTGAAGAAAAACTGGAGTTATTAAACCAATTTAATGAAGTTACCTCAATTTGAATTGATCTAAGGCAGAATATTAAGTTGAGGCAACATTACTACGTCAACACATCAAAATAAGGTTTGCGACTTACAAAGGTTTATCTGAAGCTGTAAACTGAGGTAAATTAAAATGGATTTAATTAAGCGATGGGAATAGGTCCACATGTTAATATCTAATGGTTCAATGGGCTTCTGACTTATATAATAAATGTTTCAGAGCTGCCTTTACAAGAAACATCAAACATGTCATTTAATTTTCCTGACCAGATATTTATGTGTGTAAAATCTACTATTTTATCCCAAAATATATTCTTTTACACAATGATAGAAGAGCCTGACTAGCTCTACCAGATCCTATTTCTTCTTCCTGATTTTCATGTGCATGTTGGCTCTACTGCGGCTCCGTTTCCCACCGTCCTTGAAGGCAGCACCGCCCCTCTCCGCCTCTGCGCTCCAACCGAGAGGCACCGACCGACTGACTGGCTGCGTGGGGAGCCGGTGTGGGCGCAGCGGAGGACTTTCCTATAAAAGCAGGGATCCCACGACCAGACGTGCTCGTCTCTCCGTGTCAGTCAGCGGCTCACCGGACCCGCTCCTCCCGCGCCAACAGCTGCCTCATCCCCGCGTTTACAGTTCGGAAACCCCCCCCCTCATCCAAAAGGAAATCTTCGTCTATGGTTCTGACTGACGCTCCGACAAGGATGTCCCGGACCGACGAGGTGCACCGTATAACGGAGAATGTCTACAAGGTAAGACGGTGCTGTTCGGTAGTTTGTTTGCCAGCCGGTGACCGCGCGTCCTCGGCACACCTGCTGCACCGGGCCACGGCTGCTTAGAGGACGCGGCGACGGATAACTTTGACTCAGTTGACCTGGCTGCGTTTGTGCCACTTTGGTGCCAAAAGACGCACATTTTTTTTTCACGCGTACTTTGAACAGAAACCATCTCCAGTCAGCAGGAGGGAATCAGGAAAGCTTTAATGTGTATTTTCTCTCGATAACTTGGATCAGCTCGACTCTCCTCGGCTGTATATTTAGATTCATGTGGACTATAAACTATCCGCTTCGAGTCTATTAAATGCCAACAAAAAGCCACGTAATCAGTCTTCTCACCAGAAAAGTCCAGCTAATGGAGTCAGTCAATTCACTGAACTCTAATTGATTAATTGGCGGTTTTTTTTCTGGAGAGGCTGAGCTGCCTCTCTGTTTCATCTGCAGTAATCATGAGTGAGTCAGTCATGTAGATCTCCTGGCTGAGCCGGAGCCTCCACGCTGACAGCTTGCCCCGGGGCAGCTCACTTGAACACGGCGCAGAGCAGAAAGCTGTCACCACCAGAGGTTCATCCAGCTGGGAGCCGCGCGGCCGCACATTACCTGCTTCACTGACACTGATCATTAATTTATGGGGGCTTAAAGTGTGTCTTCATCGGACCCAGCAGTCTTCACTTTGGTGGCTTGAGCTGTTGGTATTTTCTGAGAGAAAGGACAAAGTCATTATGAGTGTTTTGTGAAGCTGTAATTTTACACTTGACCCTGTGCAGCTGGGCCTCAAATTGGACTAATCTGAGACCAGATGGAGGTTTGTGTGAGAATAAGCTGGGGAAAGGGAAAAAAAAAGATTTTTCTTGGGGAATCTCAGCTGTGACGGACCTCCCTGCACTTGTTGAAATCTGAGAGGTGAAAAAGGTGACAAACGCTCAGCTCGTCCATTGTCATTTTCACAACAGAGCGCCTCTTCAGCGGAGGCAGGTGGGGGGCCAGGAGAGGTGTTGCTCTTGAGTTTCAGTGCACTCAGGGCAGCCCTCCAGGCGAGGTAGATTTCAGCAATGAAAGCGCGACAAGGGCTTTCCTTTATGTGAGGAAACTTGTAAGTGCTCCACACGCCTCCGCAGAAATGCTCAGAGGCCTAAAAGCTTCAGGAGGAGTGTTTGGCGGATGTGAGCTCACTGAGCCGGAGATGTCAGGTCGGCCTGAGCCTCCCTCCTCGGGTTCCAGGTTTCTTGCGTGGCGTGACATCAGAATTTAGGCTTCAGAGGAGAAGGGATTTCAGAATGCGTGGCCGACCTTAAAGGCACGCAGAGACGCGCTGCTTGAAAAGGCTCTAATGAGGGATCAGCAGCAGCCGCCTGATGTTGTGACCTGTGGGAGGTTTCTTTGGATCTGTAATGGCTCGGGCAGGAGGAGGATGAAGAGGGAGGAGGAGGATGAAGAGGGAGGAGAGGCGAGGAGGTGTGAGGAGTTGATTTGTCACTTGAACAGAATTTATCAGTATTTTCACTATGTTGCATTAGTGATCGACCGATATCGGGGTTGTTTTGGGCCCATGCCGATTACTGTCGATCAAGAAAAGTCTGATATTCGGAACCGTTAAATGAAATGTTTGAACAGCATGTGACAGCAGAGAACCTGCCATTCATAACTAGGCTTCTTCGTTAATAAGGGAGATTATAATTGAATACGTGAAATGGAAACGGGAGCGATTAAATTAGGACGCTCTCCTCCGTTTACGCGGGATTGGGTCGTCCTGCTGCTCGTCTCTAGTTTCTTAATCTTTCACTGTTCTATCACTTTATTGCCTACTTAAAGCAGTATTAATTATTGTTCTCTTCAGGTTAATCTATGGCTAATTTCTAACTTAGCCGCTAGCCATTAGCGTAGCATTAGCCACTATAAGAGCAGCTAATTTCCTGGTTTGTGGCGACAATTTTGCGTCCTAACAGACATTTCTAAGACGACAGAGTGACCAAAAACAGAGAGAAGAAGCTTTATAAGGACACTTAATTTATCAATAATCGGTCAACAAAAATACCGATAATCGGAAAAATGCCAAATATCAGCCATGATAATTGGTCTTTCCCTAATGTGCATTAATTTTTAGTGTCCAATATTGGTTTCAAATTGCTCACCCAGAGTCACTATTTCCTGACAATTAAGTTTAAATAGGACTTTTTTTTTAAAGTATTTAAATGATCATATGATTAAAAAAAAAAAAAAAGCATCAGTTGCAGCTTCACTGAAAATCCCTGCTAAGAAGGAAGCTATAAGGGGAAGAGAGGTTTTAGAAACGCTCTGCTCAGGGGTCAAGTATGAAAATGCCATCGTGCAGAAACGCAGCGCTGGGGTTTCTTCCTCTCATCAGCAGGCTGCATCATTACGGAGTCAGCAGGAGTGAGGAGAAGCAGAGCGCCGCTGCCAGTTTGACTCGGGGGCTGATCGTAGGAGACCGATGCTCGCTGGCGTGGCAATCGGTGCGACAGCGGTGGGGCCGTGGGCTCGTTTCTGAGCCGAGGGCTGCCGAGGCTTTGTGTGGGGCTGTGTTTAGAGAAACTAACAGGTCTTTATTAATTCATTAAAAGCACAGAGGATGAAGAGGCCCGGAGGTGCCAGCTCCCATTAGATAACACTCAAGTCTGTTTCTCCACTGAGGAGATGAAGGTAGAGACGGCAAATGTCAGCAATTAGATCTTGTGGTGTTAAGATGGGGATCAGGGACATCAATTACAGAGCATCATATCGCAGTAAAGTGTCAAGCAGAATGTACTCGGAGAGGTCATTCCTCTGGCGGGGCTTCATGTCTGACCTTGCTTTAATGCTCAAATACATTTTTAATCTGCAGATCCAAATCTGCATCAAGATACACTCAGTCGTAGATTGGCTGATATTGTGCGAAAGCTCTGGATACCTGTGCACAAAAATCCTGTAAGCATTTTGAATAATAACCTTGAACTAGCAGCATCTCCAGCTGCAGGATTAATATGTGCATGTGTTGTCTGACTTCAGAGGGAAATTGCACTGAATTGGTTGAAAAGTGCTTTTCAAAAAAAAAAAAAAATCTGTGGAGCAGAAGTTGGTGCAGACTGTACTTGAATATTAATCTTGAGTGAAAGGATGCAAAACAGAAAATGTTTTGCCAATGTCCATGTTAAAGAGCTCGTGATCTTCTTTTCCTTTTAGTTTTTCTTTTTTTTTTTTTTTTTGCATATAAAAGATCTGCAAAAGGAAGGCATTCTCTCCCAGAGAAGACTCTGCTCTTTACCTCCCTGAAACGCCTGTTTTGAAGTCTCCTGTGACTTATCTATGTCATCGTGTAACATATTTGCATAACACCTGTCCAACAGCTCGGTTACAAGGCCCTTAAATGAAGAATGAGCCATATTTCCTCACTTCTGCAAGGGTTATGTCTTCTGCCTGTTCTTGGATGTGGTTTTATGATACGTAACCATATTCTAGCATGCTGACGTATTCAAGCAGACTTGTAAAAATGCACAATATGGGTCTTTAATGAGCTGTGAGTCACCTCTTTTGCAAGTTCTGCTCAACAATGGGGGCCAGAAGCTCAAACATGAACGTTTTGTCTGAAGAAATTTCACATTTTGAATAATTCTCTCCCACAGTGTGCAGCGGGCAGCTATGAATAGATGCTCACTTGAAATCTGTGGCTGAAATGATTCCCGTGTGTTTCTAACAATCCAAGCATTGCGCGGTGACCCTTCGCCGGATGAACGGTGGTTTTGTTTTCGTGCAGCTCTGCATGCCGTTTTGTTTTCTTTGTTTGTTAGACTTTCTGCTGCCAGAATAAAATAACTCTGACTGAACGGCAGAGGACCAAAGCCTTCACCTCACCGCCCTGCTGCTGACAACAAGAGATGCTGAATGTAATGTTTGGATGACTCACATTGGCGGATGCGATTTTGTGTGTGTGTGTGTGTGTGTGTGGGCAGCAGTGTCTCACGACTGTATGTGTGTGTTTGTCAGCACTCGTACTGTACCGTGAAGCCGCTGCTTCTGGCTCCGTAATGATATGCAATCTCGCATCAGAACATGCAAATTACAACGTGAGCGAACCAGTGGGCGCTGAGGTTGAAACGTCAAGTTTGTGGAAGTTTTTGAAACTGTACGGAGATGTGTTGGTGGCCCACCGGCAGCGTGGGTAAACTGTTTCCTCAGGTTGTTGTGGTTGCTGAACAAACACCATCTGTATGTTTGTTTGGGAGTGTATTCAGCCAGGCTTTGTAATCCCAACAGTACCGCAGGCGCAGTTTGTTGAATGAAGCTCGAGTGTCAGGGCGAGGCTGAAAAGCGATTGTTTGATACGTTTGATGGTTGGAGTGGATTACAGAGAGATCAGCTGATTGATTTTAATGCTTTCTTTGTACTTGTGCATTCAACCGTTTTCCACCCGTCACATGTTTCCAAAAGTGAGTTCAGGTGCAGTTTAACTACTAAACCCATCTGCATGACACTGTTGCAATAGCAGTAACATATTGCATCCATTTTTGGTCAGTTTAATGGAAAAACTACCAGAAAAAAATCCCCCACAGCTTGCATCAATCAGTTAACCAATCCTGCACTGACCAATCATTGACTTATGATCCACGAATGAGTGACGATAAACTAAACTGATCTTTAAAGTCGAGCACAAACACTTTGCTGAGTCAAGCTTCTCTCAACTTGCTGCTTTTTTCTCTGTTTAAGGGCAGACATTGAGGGTGAAAAGGGCAAAACTGAATATTTATGTTTCAATTATGCAAATGAGGTGTTAATGATCTAAATATGGCCTAATTTACATTAATTTCCAGAACAGAAATCTTAACTCTGGATGAATATTCATCTTCAAAATTCCTCTTCTTGTTGACATACTGGAGTCAAAGGTGTTTACAGAGGAGATTTTGGACATTTAGTTTTATTTTTTGTTTTTTAAATCACCCATAAAGCTTTAAAATACAGTCAAAAAGGGAGGAGGGAGGAAA